CCCCAAAACCCCAAAACCCCAAAACCCCAAAACCCCAAAACCCCATACCTGCTCTCCACATTGAACTCCCCTCTTCATCCTTCTAAAACCCCTAATTTCCCTTCCTACCACTTCCTCATCCTCTCCTACCCCACCCATACCCAGTCCCCACCCATTCCCTAGGCGAAGACTGAGCCATGGAGAAGAGGCAGAAGACTTGGAGAAGAAATGGGATGAGGGCTTAGGGTGAGAAGATAGTGGAATTTTAACTGATTTAGGAAGTAAAAATGAGGTGACAGGTTTGGAGTGTCTGGAAATTTGGGAAGAGGAGTGAAAATTTTGGGGTTTTAGGGGAAGTTAAGGGGGAGGGGAAGGGAGATGGGGAGGAAAGAGCTTGGTGGTGCTTCTTTTTGGGGAAAATGCAATTGGAGTTTATATTAGAGTTACGGATTTTGGCGTTTTGGGCATCCAGTTGGCTTATTTTTGATTCATTATAATTAATGATTGGTATGTTATCCCTCTGATCAATCTGAAATTAACTTTATGAACTTTTTTGATAGCCTTATGTGAATGATTATTTCAGTTGTAACCCAAATTAAAGAAAGAATGATTAAAAAATCTTGTATCTGAAAAGTTGACTTTATGCTTCCATATACAAATTTTCATTTGATTTCTTTCTGCTAAAAAGCTTGCACTCCTTGTGAAAGCAGATTTAACTTTATGTTAGATAAGTTTAGGTTAGATCCTGCCATTTTTGGATATTTCAGGGAACATTTCCAGGCTCAATAAAAATTGTATAAATATCATGGTTATTCACAAAATAACAGAGCCCGAGATTCTGGCTTCAGACTAAGAAAAATCTACGAATGATTAGGAAGTAATGCATTGAAACTAATTATCAAAGTTAAACTCTAGATCTTTCCCTTTTCTTTTGCAAAAAGAAGGATCCATCATGAAATATCCGTTTTTAAATTTTACAAATGCTTAAAACGAGAAAAGGAAGTTATCCCAAAACATTCTTCTGGAATTACTAAACTCAAATTTTCAAACGTTAAGTATATCCTGCTGATGGATTATAAAGGGCGAATGCTTGTTTATAAAGACCATCAGAAAAATTAAAGGCGGGATTATTAACCCTTCCAATGAGTCTGCTATTTTTAATAAAACTTGCTGAGTTAGGACATAAAAAATGCAACCTCTCAAAAGATATTCTTTTCCTCTCAAAATTGGCTGCTCAAAAATTCAGAATTTTTCAGCAGGAAGTATTGATAGCAAACCAAAGTTTATTCAGGTTACAGTAATTATTAAATTGCATATTTCGGGTGAGAAAAGGTATGAACTCTTTTATCTCTCACTTTTCAGCTCATTGCATAACTTAAAATGAGGCTTAGCAAATTTGTGTTGGCATAATTTTTAATTTGGCAGACTCATTGTCCATACCGCTTGATGGGAGTTTAGCATGGGGTTCTAGAGAATTTTTGAAGTTGCATTTGAGACTTGTAATATTCAAGATTTCTGATAACCAATCGTCAGAAATAATAGTCCATACATGCTTCTTTTATCCAAGTTGTAAGGGAACAGAATTATAAAAGGCAACTGAGAGTTTAATGCATTAATAATAGAGATCAAAGATACATCTGAGATAGTAATGTTTTTTGTCAAAAGTTGTAAAATTGAAGGGTGTACTGCATATCCAGATTGAAGTTTTACTCAACATTTTAAGGTAGCAAATTTTGGCATCAAAATTTTGTTAAGCTCTCTCAAATGACGATTTCTTTAAATAAAATTTTAGAAATTTTATTATAAAATGCCCTCGATGAATTTTATTAGCTAAAACTCACATTGAGAGTGCACAGTTTCAATTGGAATGCTAAAATGTAGCGAACAAATTTTTGACAAGAGGAAGTCACAAAATTTGTTCAAAAATTTGTTCAAAAATACTGTAAACTCCTTCTCTAATATTTACTTTCTGGGCAGAATAAGCTGTTCTTTCCCTCATATGCTGCAATAAAGTGTTGATGGCCATCTTGGGATCCCCCAGAAAGAGTACAAAATTCAAGAGAAAGATTTCTTTAACAGTTGATTATTTATTTCTGGTAGTTGGTTAAAATCCAACGAAGATTCCTTACCAGATCTAAATCAGGCAATATCAGAGCTCTTGCATATTTTATTCCGACTTTTGCTTGATAATTATGCATAAACTGTCTCTTCAAATGATTTATTCACGCTATTCTTAAAACGACCTCGTCCAGTGGGATGAAGTTAGCCTAGCTAATCTTGATATTTAAGCAAAAATGTTCCAAGGAAGTATTAATATTTAAAATTGTTTGAAAACTAACAGTTCAATGTTTTATGACGACATAAGTCTCTTCGGAGAAACACCATTTGATGATACCAAACTTATGCTTTGTGAAGTACCAGAGATAGATAAGGAAGACTTTGGGATGCTTAATGACTTCCCATCAGTTTGAGAGCTAAAACCTCATGAAGTTATTGAGAAAAGATGCAACAGAGAAGATACTATTGACAAGTTCTTAAAATCATCTTTCTTACAAGATAAGATCTTTGAAGAAGATGACCTCAGTAAAAATCAGTTCTCTCTCAGCACAGAGGAAGTTTTAGAAAATCCTGAAAAGAAGAATGTGTTGAAGACCTCTCCTACCAAAAAATCTAAGAAGCCTCAAGCTTCCAGAAGAGAAGGCTTGAGAAAAAGAATTGTCAAGAAGAAGCCCAAAAAGCCAAAGATTGCTCAGAAAGTGAAATCTTTCGAGAACAGAACAAGGTTTTGCAAAAAGCATGACAGAGGTAAGGTTCAGGATACTTGTGACTTACACTTGGTGAAGCTGAATAATTCAGCATTTTTATCTTAATTACCGAACTTCATGCTAGCTTATGAAAAATGTTTTATTTTCTTTGCCATAAGGAGACAACGATTGAATAAATTATCTAAAACTTCGATATAGAGATGTTCCTGGTACTCAACAGACTTTGCAAAGAATCTGGGATATCTCCATCAGAGTTTGAAGGAACTGAATTCCCGCTTTCTGAGAACCTGATGGAAATTCTTGAGCAACTGATAACAGAAATAAATTGGAGAAGAAGTAGAAAAATTCCGTTATTAAGCAGGATAAGAAAGCTTATGATGGATAAGGCCTTCTCAATTCGTGATGTGAAGTTACTAACAGCCCTAGCCACCCAACACCAATCAAAATATGGGTTCATAGATTACGAGGCTATCATGTATTATTTCCCTGGGAAAACTACCCAAGCTCTTATGAAAGCCTACGAAGACTCTCTAAGCTAATTTCTTCTACAAATCTTTAACTTAGGCTTCTTCCTAGTTCTTAATTTTGATAATTCAATATCTAGGTTTACTGTGGGGTTTTGGGGTTTTGGGGTTTTGGGGTTTTGGGG